TCAAATGCTCGCTGTCTGTTGACAACTTGTCCGACACCCGGGTGGTTGCTCATGGTGCCCGTTTCGGATTGTTTAATTTGACTTAAGAAGTTGTTTCAATTAAATTTGTTTAAATTTTGAATGACTCTAGTAAACGGGAAAATTACTATAAGAGAATTTAAACTTTCTTTTTAGAAGGAAGAAATAAGAGAGAAATGTGAAAATTTCAGCCCTCTGTTTCTGCGTAAGAAATCAGTCACTGAAAGAAGGCAGGCAGACTCATCAGAAACAATTTTAATTTTCTCATTTCTCTCTTATTTATTTCTTCTAAAAATCAAGTTTAAATTCTCTTATAGTAATTTTCCCGTTCAGTAGAGTCATTCAAAATTTAAACACATTTAATTGAAACAATTTCTTAAGTCAAATTAAACAATCTGAAATGGGAACCAAGAGCAACCAAACGAGTGTCAGACAAGTTCTCAACAGACAGCGAGCATTTGACAGTGTACCTTTTTCTCGGCGAGCATCGGACAACAAGTTATCCCCACTTTCTCGCTACTACTTTTCAACAAATTTTGCTTGACAGAAAAATAATGAGTTAATAAAATAAAAACCTCCGCCTATTAGTAAAAGTAAACAATAGATGAACAGTTATGCATAACATTTAGCTTTTTCTTTTTAATCATCCCTTTTTATTTTATCTGTTAACTAACTCTAGGACTAGAGCGACTATGATATATGATATAATTTAAGCGAGACTTGAAGTTTTAGGTACCATTTGAAACAAAGGGATCTATCAATCGAACCCATATTTTTTGAAGTGAAATATGCAAGGAAAAAAATTAGTGCGCATGGTCTAAATTGAACCCTTTTAGTGATATGAAATCAGTCAATCTGAAACATTTACGATCTGATATTTGTTTACAGCAACTACATACCTATTGAAACAGCAGTTGATCGGCTATTTAGTATATTATCGCACTTTTTCTTACATAGATCATTAAAACTACAATCTCCCGGTCTGATTAAAATGCGCACTTTAACTGTCCCGGTAGTCAACTTACGTATTATGCACTAATGACACAGTTGATAATTTTGTGCAACGATAAACATGTTTCGCTTGTAAGGTACCTTGCATACGATAAATTAATGACTTTTGCGAGTAAGCATACTTAGATCGCCCCTTAAAAATTTAGAAAAAAATTAAAACATCATGTTTTAGATTTTTAGGAGTAATAGTTAATTTATTGTAGAAATATGCTTGTCAGACTTCAAAAAATTGTCGAAAATTTATTGGCCTTGCGAAACTAAATTTTAGACGCTCTGCTCTTTTTAGTTTAAACATGTACAGAAACGCGCAGAAGGAAAACGAAATACGAACTCACCAACTTCGGGCTTTCGTCGATTTCAAGTGTAATTTTGTTTTTTTTTTCTCAAAAAAAATACAGTGAATTGTTTATAACTGAAAACTAATTAAGAATTTCTTTTTGGTTCTTTGAACTTAATGCGCTAGGCTTGCTAATCTAGACTTTTTTGTGAATACAAAAAACTTCGACTAAAGATGGCTCATTTTAGTTTATTCAAGTAACTTCAAATAAAAAAAATTATATCTGTGGTAATAATAGAACATGCTGTATATTCGTACTAATAGTACAAAACAAATTTTAATGTCTTAACTTGTAACAACTTATCGCCTAACTTATTTTAAATTAACTTGCAGAAACAAAAACTTGGCCGTCTAGACCTAACAACCTTTTTCTTTGAGTTTTTATTGGACAAATCTGGAAGTTTTGGCCAGTAGTTTTGCGGATATGTGTGGATTTTTTGATTGGATGGCTAAGAAGCTCATAGTATGATTTGAGTCATTATAATAAAAAACAGACGCAGAAACTTTCTGCAAAAAACATCAACAATCAGGTGTTTGGTTTGACCCATTTCTATTGAAATTTGAAAGCTGACTTGGATTTGGTATTAGTTTGAAATTCATCAAACATCAGAGATATGTATCTCATATTTAATGCTCAAAGTTTGGCTCAGAAGCCAACCGCAATCAGCTAAATGCAGTTTATTGGACTGAAATGTTGAATACGTATGAATTGAAATGTTGTCAATCGGTCAGCTACCCGAAACCGATCTACCTCAGTACCGAAACGAGGCAGAAAAAAGAACGGTATATTCTCCAAAAAAAAAAATTTTGCAAACCGTTTAAAAATTGTTTTTAAATGAAAAGTTGATATTATATATAGTAAAAACGACCTTTTTCGTCTATCAAACAAAAATAAATCAACTTATACAATGTTTGGAGAATATACCCTTCATAAATTTTGTTGGGCTACGTAAGGGGCTCACTTTGATATATTTAGGTCTGTGATCGACTGGCTATTTTTGGCGTAATTTTTGATTAACTAAGAGAAGCCAAAATGATCCATTTTTGTGGTAAAATTTTGGGCCCGAAATTTGCTAAACAAATTACACCAAAATAATTCTGCTAAAATTTTAAGCAAGTTTTATGTTCATAATTTGTCACCTAAACTCAACCTAATTTGAGAAAAACGCGTTTTAAATTTCAAGTTTAACGCGTTTTGTCCGGTTAATTTAAATCAGCACTGCAGATCAAAAAAAATTCGAATTACGTGAATGACAGCAATCTTGACGTTTTGTTTTTCATGAAATTTGATTAAAACGAATCGAAACAAGCAGAGTTTGCTGCAGATCACATAAAATGAAAGTTTGGGGAGTTCTTAAATCAGGATAATTTTCAATGGTTTGTCTTTACGTTAAAAGTGGTTAAAACAATGTATAAACTCTACTTATCTGCTAGCAGAATCGAAAAAGGCAACGACTTAATGTTACAATTTGGGTACATGACTTTTTAAAAATAAAATAAACAAAATTCATAAAGAAGCAATGTATAAAAGTGTTTCAATTATAGTTAATTGCTTTTTTTAAACTATTAGATAAGCAGAAGTAGTGGTAGTTATTTATCATTTTAACCGCTGTTAGCTCGAAGACAACCATAAAAACTATGCGGATTGAAGACTTTCCTAATTACTTTTGACAAACAAAAAGCTTTTTCCTGCAAAACGAGAGCAAATTGATTTATTTTAAAATGGCGACCACTTTAGCATGCAGACTACATTCGAGATTGCTCGGTACTGAAATAACTTTCTACAGTTTTGACTTCCAAAAATTTATTAGAGAGATCGACACAAAATGTTTACCTTAAGTCGCTGTCCTAGAACTCTTTTTGTAAGATCGTTTTACGAAAATTGTTTCATCTTGTCAGAAATTCGCAAATTAAAAAAAAACTTTGTAAAGAAAAAACTGTGAGGTAGATAGAAAAATGTGAAGTTGAAAGAAATTTTTATTCGGTTAGCAAATTGAACTAATAACGAACAATCAGATTTTTACTGGCAAGTGTCAAATATTTATCTAAGAAAAGGAAGTGAACCTTACACACCAGCGTTTCACATGTAATTTTGCGAAACTAATTGTAAACTTTTGTCAATATAGATCCAAAACCCACGTACAAAACAAGTCCAGTGCTATATGATATGATTCATCAAAACTGATGTTTATTTAAGATCAGAGAAACATTCAAAAGCTAAATTGCTATAACTAGGAGCCCGGGTTGACTCCGTACACCGCAAATGCTTACCAAACGATTCCATACATCAAGTGTGGAAAAATGCTTGTCATACATTTTCATACAATTTCGAGAAATGGTTGAAAAAAGATATAAACTAATTTCTGCAGCTGTTTGATTCTAACAACATAGTCTGGTAATAAAAAAACCGAGGTTTTCGTTTTTTGAAAAAAAATCTTATCATACAATTCCCATTTATCGAATAGTATTTTCGAATTTGCCCCAAAAATTTTTTTGTTTGTTTTTTTTTTGTTCAACCGCAAATCGAGTTTTGTACGCAAACAAACTTTTTCCAAAAAAAGTTTTTTGCATCAAATTTTGATTTTCGTGTGAATAACGTAGTCCTGGATACGATGATTTTGGGTTTTTTCCTTTTCGCTGTTTATTTTTTTTCAAAAACGCTGAAATTTCCTATTTCTTTTTATGGCGTGTTTATTTTGAAAGACAACTCTAAGACAATTCAGTTCGTTTTCTATGCATTGTAATAGCAAGACCTTGCAACTTTTGGGCTTTGAGTAAGCTAAGGTTTTTTCACTTGTGATCGGTGCTCGGTTACAAACACAACCCAAAGTTTTTCTAAAAATAAATATAAAAACAAAAAATCAACTTTTCTGGTTCATGGAAAAACACCATCATATAAATTGAATATATAGAAAAATGCTTATCATAGAGACTTCATACACTTTTTTGTACGTATGAAATTGTATCAAAGAAATTATGACAAGAAATTTTTTGTAAATGAATTATTATGATAAAAAGTTTTGGTCAACCCGGGAGGTTTATCGGTGAAAGAGAATTTTTTTTCGGGGAAAGTCACGTAATATAACAACAAACGGAAAACTTCTAATCAGAAAATATTAATGGGTAAATGATTTTTGCTGGTGAATTTTTGAAATACGTTATCTAAGGAACAAGGTTTTTTGTGCTGAAAAACTATCTTTGAAGTATGCATCTAAGAAACTCGTGAATAAGGGTATTTTAGTTACCGCATTTATAGGAAGTTCTGAGATAGAGGACATTTTCTAGGATTTGATCGACTTTGGTAAACTGAAGTTTTCTGCTTCTATAAATATCAAAACAGCTTTTGAACCAGGGGCGGATCTAGAATTTTTTCGAGTGGGAGCCGGATTTTCGAGGAAGAAGGGTGGACCCCAGTTTGAGCAAACTTTCTGCGCCGCAGGCAAAAACAGGCCAAAAAGGCGTTTTTGGGATCTTTTTGAAAATTTTTGACCAAAAAATTGCGTTTTCCGGCGTCCGCTCCTCCCTCAAAGTTAGTAGAACTACATTTGGAACTACACTTAACTACATTTGGTACTGAAGTAACTCTTAAAAGTGAAAAATTTAAATTCATTCATTTGATTTGTGTTTTGTAACTTTTGTAAGTTTAGCACTGCTTTCAAAGAAGATACTACTTGACGACAACTTTAAATTTTCTTCATTATTTTGGAGCTATGAGTTTTTCCATTGCACTTCATATCAAAATCTTTGTGGTGGCTTATTCAAAAGTAGAAAAAAGAGGCTCCAAAGTGGCTTGTTTGACTCACCGAAGAAAACAAATGCTAGCTTTTGTGTTTGGACTCAACGTAATGTTTTACATCGTTTTCTTTTTACCTTTTGCGTTTGCTGCTCTCGTCAAGGACTTGAAGACGTTCGAGTATGAGACCGATGTTGTAGAATGTAAGTTCAACATATTTTTTTTGTGCTGAAAACATATCACTCTCATTTCATTTTAGCCGCAGGTTTGTTCAAATGAAGTTGTGAACACTTTTAAAGATACCACACCGGTTTTAGCTCGTGACAAAAAGCGTGTTATACAATTTCAAGCTCTTTTTCCTTCCCCCTCCGCCCACCAGCAAAATTTTACAAGTATTATTTTTGACCACATGGTCAAATTGTTATGAAAATTGACACACAGACTGATCGGGCCACGGCAAACAAATTTGGTCTCCATAATCAACCTCGTAAAACGTTTCGGTACACTAAAAAGTTGGAGCTCGAGTGAGGTGGGGGGAAAAGGAAAAAGAGCCCATTCCGGACGAGAAAAAAAAAGATTAGGTGATTCTAAATTTTATGATTTATGAAAACCCAAAAACAACGAATCGACAAAACAACAAAATTTTTGAAAGCAAAAAAGCAAAGTAACATTTTTTGGGCCGAAGTAATTTTTTGAAATAAATTTGATATCAAGAACAAAAATTGCTCAAAAAACAAGAAGCCAAAATCTTTTATTCAAGTTTTGGAAGTAAATGTGATAAAACTTATGAATTCGGACAGTAGAAGCGAGAAAAATTGTCAAATCAACTCATGAAAACCATCAATGTAATTTTTTTTAAAAAGCACCAAATTTATGCATAAAAATAGAGAAAATTAAGAAAATCAACAAACAAAATCAGACTAAGTGCAAAAAACGTACAAGCATCCTGAATTCATTGGTTAACACCAGATTCGAAACCGAACAAGACTGCTCGTATCAGGGCAAAACCCTGATTTTTCCGGCTGCCTTCTAAAAGTTATGGAGCCGTAACAATGTGAAAAAATTAAAATTAATAAAAATAAACTGAATTTTTTTTAACTTGAGTTTTTTTGTGAAAATTATCCCCCCACACGCTTTATAATATACAATTTTCGCTCCTAGTAACAAATCGATTGTCGCAAATAAGCTTTCTTCAACCAAATAAGAACGATTTCTAAGACGGATTAACTCTCCGCTTACGCGTTAATTGTCATTTCTAGAATTAAAACTTGTCGCACGGTTCTGTTCAAAAAAATTTACAAAAAACTGGAAATTTCCACTCAGCACGATTTTCATTTCATTGCAAAAAAATCCCAGTTTACTGATTTGTTCATAGTCTTTTGAGATCAAACCTGGGCAAAAAACAACTGAAAATTAAACATAATCTTGCTGAATAAAATAAGGTGTTAAAATCTTTCAAAAAACATTTAAAATTTTTTGTAAATAGTATGCATGAAATCTATTTTCAAGAGTATGAAATCTGTATGTTAAGTGTACACAGTCTCTTTACTATCTGTAAATAATATTTTTAAAGTCTGTATAAAATCGGTATACAACCTTATTATAGTATGTATAAAAAATGTTATATGATCACAAGTTTTTATGTGTTTTGATAATAGTTAAAAGCGAAGAAAAGAGGAAACAATGCTAAAATAATTGGTTCAAAAACTATAAAAAAAGTTATAATGTGTAAAAAATTTAAATGAATTATACGTGTTAAACTATATAGTATCATTTTTGGTCATCTTGTCACATGGGAGCCAGCATGAATTTGACCCTCTGCCGATCTAGAGGGTCCCCCCTTTGTACTACTTTGAGATATTCATTTTTGGCTGATGCACCCTAAATTTTTGTACAGGCGTCTTCGGCGCCAAAAGATACTTATTTTGAGGGAGGAGCGCGCGCCGAAAACTTTTCGATTTTTTTTTGAAAGTCCGCCCCCGCTCGAGAAAATCCTAGATCCGCGCCTGGGAGCAAGCATTATCATTCAATCACTTGCAGAAGCTAGACTAGAAGATAGCAGATTAACAGTTTGTAAATCTTCTTCATTTTTATTTTAACAAAAATATTTTTCCAATTCTTTGAGGAAAAAAAGTGGCACTTAAAGATTTTTTCAATTATACAAACCTACCAAAGCAGATCAACAAAAAATGGTTGAAATTATGTGAGTCGAAAAGAATGAGAACAATTAAAACCCAATAGTTGTTAGTTAAACCATCATTTTTCTCCGCAGGAAATTATTTATGCTGTTTTCGGCTTGACTTCTCTGGCAATTAATCCTCACAGGTGCATATACTTTAAAAAACCTAAAACATGACTTTTTGACTCTTTCTCCCCCCCCCCCGCCACCTCACGTAACAGTTTTTTTTTCAGTTTTGTAATCATCAGTAACAAGGCGTTTTGAAAAATTAGTTATGCAGATTGAATATTTTAGTCAGGGCATAATTTTTGGAAAAAGAGCCGATTTTTCTAATTCTAACTAACTGTATATGCCATTTCGTTTTAGATAATCCTTTAGTGTTGGGTTTATTATACTACACATCGGACGGAGCAAAATCTCCCAGTAGAAAAATGGCATTCGGATTGATTGAGAGAACCCAGCTGAGAAAGAGCGATCAGTTGTACCTATAGTTGAAAACAGTTGAAAATGTTTTTTTTTCTCAAACTTCGGTGAGCTGATCGAATTTTGATTTTACGGGCTGCAGTCCAGCTGGTGCGAGCCCTTGCATGGTGAAAACTAATTGTCAAAAATGGCGAAAGTTCATTGAGCCCGTAAGATCAATAAACGCGTAAGGGAACTTGATTGCATAACAACAGTGATCAATGCAGTCGCGCTAACGTGTGGCGAGCTTGGCAAAAGCAATATAGTACTATTTACGAAATTTAGTTAGAGCAGGTTAGGCGAAGCTGCGACGCGTGAAAAAACCTCCCATCGTCCACCTAAACCGTCGGCTACAAGAAAAAGTTTTCATGTTCTTGCGTTTTTAGAACCGTTTATCTTTCTTTTCGGTTGCTGAATTGTATTTTTTTTTCAACTTACGAACTCAAAAATTGATTATTCAGAAAAGCAAAATGTCAATAATGAAGAATAAAAAGAACTGCGTACTCGGTTTTGCTGATTAATCATTCAAAAATGAGAGACAGTCATAAAAATTGTGCTCAAAGTCAATGATTCCGATCTTCTTCAGAAATTAAAAACTAATTACCAATTGTTTTGAAGCACAAAGAGCAGATATGACGAACGATCGTAATTACTTTTAAAAATTACGACCTTATTTTTGACCTTAAAAATCAAAAATTTACATGAATTTAGGCTCTTATGAATTCAAAAAAAATTAAAAAATAGGTTCAGGGGCGGATTTAGGGGGGGGGGGGGGGCGGACGGTCTCCTCCCCTCAGGGATTCGAACCCCTGCCAACCCAAAAGGTCCCCCCTTTGGTACTTTTTAAGAAATCCATTTTTGGCCGACCGACCCTAAAATTTTTTTTTCTAAAGGCGCATTTGGCGCCAAGATATACTAAATTTGAGGGGGAGCGCGCGCCAAAAAAACGCGTTTTTTTTTGTCAAAATTTTCCAAAAAGTGCCCAAAAATGGCTTTTTTGACCTGTTTTTCAATCAATCTGATCGACCTAAAAAAACTAGAAAATTTTTCGAAAATCCGCCCCCAATAGAAAATCCTATATCCGCTCCTGAATAGGTTCAATTTATCATTCATTGACTTTAATCAATACTATAATCATATCCAAAATTTTTACTTGAAAAACTGAATGCCATTAAAGCAACCCTACCGTACTCGGCAATACAATATGATGATGATGTCGAAATATGGAAATCGATGAAAAGATCTGAAATTGGATATAAATTCTTCAGAATTCTCTCCCTGCTGTATGGACCTTTGTATTATGTTTCTTTGATTTTGATTCTGACTCATTTCAAAACAGCCGCTCAAATTATACGCGATTGGTTCAAAGGAAAAATACTTGGAGTTATTGACAAATCTGTGAAGCTCTTGGGACTATCAAATTAAAAACACGAACTCTTAAAAAAGAAGTGGTCACAAAATTTTAGCTGAAAATGAAAGCTACAGCTGAAAAAAAAAACGAATTTTCTTAAAATATCTAACACATAGTGATACTTTGGGCTCTTGAGGAAAAATAAAACTCTTTTGCGACCATCATTTTTTGCCCTAACGCGCATCGAGCGCCCATGGACCAAAATCGATTGCATTGTCATTTGATAAACAGAGTTTATTAAACTACAAAATAACTGATTATAATCCCTGAATAATGGAAAATATTGTTCCTTGTTATTCCATTATAATCAGTTATACTGGAGCTTTCTGCGAGTTTATTGCTTAAATTCAGAGTTTTTTGATTAAATCTTGAAAGGTTATCGATGAAGTTTTTTTCAAATTTGTTTAATTTCTTGTTTATTTCTGCGGTTGTATTGCGTTTCATAATTTTCGAATTTCCTGCATTTCACTTTATATACTCTATTTTCTCTTATTTCTATATTTTTCTTTTATCTCTTTTTAATTCATGGTAGCTTACCATTTTATTTTTTGTTTTTTACCTCGGTTTTCATTCTCCCACCACCAAATCCCCCTAATAATCCAGGGCGGGCGGTCGGATTCAGGAAGGGGAGCCGTGGAGAAGTGTTTACGTCTCCGCCTCTCAATCGGAAGGTCGGATGTTCGAGGCCCACCATGATTCGTGCTTGTTGCTTGAGGGTGAGGCACAACAGCGGTATGTTGGTTCGTATGTTGGCCCTATCCCTCGTGGATAAATGGTCTTAACTTAAAAATAACTTAAAATGCGAGAAATAGATTATTATAGATTATAATGGTTTTTTTCCTTGAAATTAATTGAATATAAGGGCAACATCATCGCTTGCCTGGTCAGAATTTTACATCTCAATTGGAATATAATGTTTCGTCTCGCAAAACTATTCAATCAATCAAAAACCATGGGCACTCGGTGCGAGATTCTTAGTAGGAAAATATTCAAATTTATATTAGAGACGATCATAACATAAGTAGAAAAAGTTATTTCTGCGTTGCGTTCCTGCGCTCATTAACGACAAAAAGAAATTTAGTCACAAAACAAAAGCTCGCCACTAATCCATATTGTTTGAACTGTCATGAACTGAAAAAAAATCGAAAATTTTGTTTTAGGGCCGGGCTAAATTTGAGCAATCATTGATTTTTTGCCGAAACATAATTCTCGTAAGAATTTTGACAAAAGCTAATTTGTGACCTTTTTGCTCTTCAAATTCTAATCTTCAACAATTCAACCTAATTCAATGGAACTCAAAGCAACGAAGGGGGCTTATTACTAACGCGTTCACCTGTTCTGAAAATTTTTAGAATCATGATATATTAAAAGTTCGAAAGTTTTGTATCTACCTCCCAAGTTTTTATAGCACACTGTACAAAAGTTTTGTCCGAGATTAAATTTTTAAAGATTTAGTTCACTGTTTTCCAGATCGTTTTTCTACTAAATTATTATGAAACGTGCAGAAAAACCAAATTCTGTTTATTTCTATTTCATGAATTGTTTCAATCCCGGCTAGAATTTCTGATCAGATATTTCAAGTTTTTTCAAGAGATTAACTGAAATGATAAATTGAACTGATTGAAACCGTTGTTTAACAAAATTTTGTCCAGAATTGTTTAGTTTTTATTTAATTGACTCTGTTAATTTCAAATTTATGCCTTTCCAAACAGTTTTTAAGAAAAAATGATCATGGCAAAATTGTAATATGTAGCTTAACTCAAAGAATTGCTTCTGAAAGTATCAAATGAAGCAAAATCGCGATCGATAAAACATTTCCATATGGAAACAAAGTCTCAAAACGATTAATTTTTTTGACACACTAATTTTCACCGATAGTGCATTTGATTTTTGCGTTTTTTTTAACAAAAAAAACTTCATTTAAACTAAGAGTGTTTTGAATTCTTGAATTTAGTAGCTTGAGCGTTTTGTTTTAAATTTTAAACCTTCAATTTTTTATCCGAATTTTTGTTCATTCAAAAGTGTAAAATAAACTATTTAATGATAAGTTTTTGTAATATGAGCTATTTGTAACAAAAGCTATTCAAAAATATTTAATTTCAAAACTCAGAATTGATTCAAGGTTTACAATTGCGCTTGTTTTCCACTTCTTACAGACAAAAAGGATTATTATTTGATGCCAATGATGTTTCATGTTGTCTCAAAACTATGTTGTTTTCCTCAAACACTTTTTTAAATTTGAAAGCTCTAAAAAATTATTGTGCACATGAAAAAAGTAAATGCATAAAACCAACAGTAAACCCATTATAATTGTTTTGAAATTATAGAGAAAAACGCTCAAAACTATAAAAATATAAGATTGTCAAAATTATACTGCCTAACGATTTAGAACGAATTCAATGATTTTGTCAGACAAGTTGTTTAGCAAAGAAAAGTCAATGTTTCCGAATTGAAAGTTTTCTCTTGTTCGATGTATCAATGTTGAGGGCTAAGGTATAAGCAAAAAAATCAGATTATCAAAAAAAATTTGTTGGTAATAAAATGTTAGCGATATGGGAACCTAAATTTGTGTTAAGATATCAATTTTAGTGATATCATACTTATAAAGAAAAATTGGACAGAAAAGACTTTTTTTTGAATTAATCTACTTTTTTTAAGAGTAACCCCATTTGGAAAAAAATAGGCGTAGTCGACATGAATCTACATAATTGATCTTTTTTAAAAGTTTCCAACGGATAGGTGCCAATTTGGAGTGCGCTACAGGATTTAAACACTAATCTCATCTTGACTTGAAGTGGCGATGTTTAATTGTCACCTAAGATAATTCTTGTTCACCAATTTTGAATCAGTTTTTTATATTGTTTCATCTTCTTCAGTGTAGTTTAAGAGCAAAATGACGTTTTGATATGCTTTATTTTACACGATAACCCTTTTTCATACGTCAAAAAAAGCCAACTGACGATTGCAAAAAAATCAATGCCCACAAGTAAACATAAAAAAGCAGACAGGCTGTTCAAAAAGTTTTTCCATTTTCATGAAAACTAGGTGCCCTTAAAGCTCTTCTAGTTTATGATTTACTTTTTTTTGACAAAATTGACCCTATTTGAGAAAGCTGGATCAAAATTTTGGTGTTCGATTGTGAAGTTTCCCTTTCTTTTAGCAAAGGAATTGAACTGAACTGAGATCTAAGTCAAACCGTGAACAAGTAAACTCGAGCCTGAACAATTATCAATACTTAAAAATCACCAGTATCTACGCTAATGGACAAAATGAAGCGCAAATTCAGGGGTTTTTATCTCTGCAACGCTTGCTTGCTTTCATTGTCCATTTGGAGCACATTTTCTTCGAAATCCAGAAAAAATTTCCTAGACCTAAAGCAAATGGTCAAAGCTACCCTCGATGAAACAATCAATATTTGGTAAATATGTCCTGCCAATGTAATCCGGGTCTGAAAATACCAATTTTCCTCATCTGCAATAAATTTTGCATCGTAGTGAAGTCTTTTACGAATAAGCGGAGTAAAAAAGTTTTTCATGCGACGTAAAACATTTTCAGCGAGAAAAAGGAAATAATCAGTGCGAGATTTTTTTTGAAATTAAGGACGTGAAAAACTAGAAATTCATAACTTAAGTTTTTTGATGTGATACTGCGCTTTTTAAAGCACTTGATTCAGCTTTTTTACATTCAAAAATTCCCAGAAAAATCACGTTTTAGAGATGCATCGTAAATAGGGAAAAAAAGAATTGCTTCCTGGAAAGACATCCTGCACAAAAACGCTTTATTCTTGTCATACTACTTAACAAAACACAACAAACCTTTCCCAACCGCCTAAAATTCTCTCACATGCGAAGAGTTAAAACAACACAAAAGAAGATATAAAGGCGCTTTGATAGTAATTTTGACATAAATTTTTGTCCGATCAAACTTTTTCTGAAGGCGGCTGTGGCGCTATGTAAAACCAAGTTTCAGTCGGGAAGCGCCCCCCCCCCTGTCAATTCTGGCTACCAAAGTTTTCCACAGGGTCCCCCTTGGTATAACTTTCCGACATCCATTATTGCCTACCAACCTCCGGCGCAAAAATAAAAATTTTGAGTTGGGAGCGCGCGCCGAAAAAACGCGATTATTTGGTCAAATTTTTCCAAAAGTTCCTAAGAACGCCTTTTTTTAGCCTGTTTTTTGAAAAGTTTGCCTGCGGCGCAGAAAATGTTCGACAAAATACATTTTTTATAGTATTTTCGGAGAGCTCGGAAAGTCAAATTGATCGACCTAAAAAAATGGTCCGCAAAATTTTCAAATTGTTTCGAAATCCCCCCTTGGAAAAATACAATTTTTTTTGGCAAAACTTTTCAACAAGCGCTAGAAAATTTTAATTTTTTTTAGCTTGTGTTTACATCAAAATTTGCAAAGCTGCGAAGAAAATATTTCTTTACATTTTTAGGAACATTCAGAGAACCGATTTGGTATACCGAAAAAACGCATAATTTTCCATTTTTCATAGTTCAATGTCGCCCTTCCATGCCCCTCCCACTCTCATGAAAGTTATATATCTGTCAATGGCAGAGATCAATGCAGTTCTCAATTCCAAAAAAAGGAGTGTCAAAACATATTTCATATTTTATAAATTGCTCATTCGATTTCTGATTTCAAACACTTTTCAGCTCTTTAAATTACAGTCGTTCTTTATAAACAATATATAATCTAATTTGGGTTTTCGACCCCTGTTTAGTTTGTTTGCCAACAATTTAAACTTCTCGGTTATCCGGTCGATCATGCATACCGGCTGCACTCCACACTTGCACATCACCAATACGAGTATGCCCTCCTGCTGCTTCGACTCCAACGAGGTCCCCACCCACTGGCCCAGCCCCAACTGCTTCCCCTACTTGGGTTCCAGTAATTGTATGTACCCCAATGGTAAGTAGGGTAAACTGGATAATATGGATCGTATCCAGTCCATCCTAGCCCAG